ATCCTGAAAAATATTTGGGGGTGCTTAACTTTTTTCCAGGTGTATATGTCTCAATATTTTAGTAAAATATAACTATATACTGCAATGACAGTAGTAAAATTAAATTTCATATGCACTTAGCAGAACATATTATAAATTGTTTTGTTTAATATCACGAAGACTGTTGCTGAAAAATATGTGGTATCTGCATATGTTATTAAATACTTGTAATATTACACAAGAAATATTACTATAAAAAAGTGTGAAAATTCACCAAGTACATACATGTTTGTAAATTGTGCAACATCTAATTCGTATTAACACAGTAAAAAATATGTTATATAGTTTTCTTCTAACTCTATAATATATTTTGTATTTAAACTCAATTTTTTTCTTTTATTATTATATCTGTAGGAGCTCTGGAGGGTTGAAGCATTGCTTTCAAAATGAAGGAATTCTCAGTAGTAGAGGACACTTAACTGATCTGTGTAAACTAAAACCAAGTCAGTGATAGTTCAGCTTCCACATGTACCAATATATTGTATTTCTCCTCAGAAGTGCAACTTTATGAGCAAATGCAGATTTGTATTAACTATGAAACTTTCAACAAAACTGAAGCCTAATGAAAAGTTTGATTTGCTAACACATGGCAGGTTTAGTATCTTGTTTCTGAACAAAATCTAAAAAAGAGCAAATGTAGATCTTTCCAGCAGCATGCTTCCAAACAGAAGTGAAGCTAGGAGATTTATGGTTTTGTTAATATAGTGAATTCCAGAAGTAAACTGTTTTCCAAACAGGAGAAATCAAGAGTGAATTTAGGTTTCATTAATAAATTATAATAAATCAACAATATTTCCAAACAGAAGTGAAACCAAGAGTCTGTGTGATGGACATTTTGTTAATATAATGAGTTACTTTAAATCACCAGTATGTTTCCAAACATAAGTAAAAGCAGATGCAGATTTATTTATAACATGGTGTCCAGACTTAAGATGCCAACCCAATGAAATACGACTCTCTTTAGTTATGTCTTAGATGTGGATTTCCATCAGGATTGCAGTATTCAATGACCAGACATTATCTAACAATATCAGCTTCTTATATGCAATGATGTATATTGAGTGAAACATGTTTCAAGCACCATATAACAATAATTGTTATAAAACAATGCTTCATGCTTTAAGAGTATATAAATATAAGAGTTGTGACTTCTGAGCAACTTTCTTTTATCAGATCAACAAGTTTTGAACATCACTTTGAAATGAAAGAAAATCTGCATGTTAAGAACAAAACAGATCTGTTAGCTGACTTTTCTAAGATACTAAAGTTTCTCACTGTTTCTTCACTTTGAAATTGGTTTGTCGTTTTCATCAGAACTTAATTTTGTTTCAATACTAGTGTCAATATAGAAACAATACTTTAGAATTGATTGTTTGTTTGTTATGAATTTTGCGCAAAGCTACATGAGGGCTATCTGCACTAGCCATCCCTAATTTAGCAGTATTCGACTAGAGGGGAGGCAGCTAGTCATCCCCAACTCTTGGGCTACTCTTTAACCAACGAATAGTAGGATTGACCGTCACATTATAATGCCCCCACGGCTGAAAGGGCGAGCATGTTTGGTTTGACGGAGAATTGAACCCGCAAACCACAGATTGCGAGTCGAGCGCCCTAACCACACCGGGCCTCTCTACAATTGAATCAGCCTGTGTATAATGACCTAACTATTCTTCACAGTTATACCACATAAACAAAATGTACTGAGAATTTACTAGGAGAAATCTTTAGAATAAATCATTTGTAACAACACACTAATTATATCAAGTAAGTTTAGGAGTGATTCTTATCTGCTGAACTGTATAAGAAATTGTTAATGCAACAAAAGATAAGATATGATGAACATTTTACTGTAGATACATGTATATCTTGTGGTGACATGCAAGTGTAAGCTACTGTGAGAAACAGTAAGCCACTTTATTAAGAAATGATTTTAATAACTGTATGCAAAATAATGTATTTTGATAGAAAAAAAATATTCATCACAGTCAGCCATATATTCTCAAGCACAAACTGTAATCTAAAACTGAATAAAAATATATTATCAAGTGTTTAAAATAAAGTAGAAAAAACTAATTTCTTGGTTGTCAAATTCCATTAGTATAAATATGCAAGTTCTCTAATTCATATAAAAAAAATAACTAGTGGTAATGATGCTAATTAATAAACCTTTCTCTTCTGTCATTTAACTGATTATAAATTGTATGCAACTCAGGCATCAAAGCTATTAGTTTAAGATTACATTTCATAACCATATTTTGACATCCCATTTTGGAAACTGAATCTTTTTTTTAGGCTGAGACAAAGGCTTCCACATTTTCAAATAAAATTTTTTCCAGGAAATTATTTGATAAAAGAACTACTGGATTATAGTGTATGAAACATATGAGCAAATATTTGGTGGAGGAGAAGCACACAAAACATCTTTCATAATGGTCTTGAAAGGTTACCAAAAATTACATGATCTATAATAACATAATTGTAATGAGGCTGGATATACTCCACTAATATAAGAAGTGCTGAGTGTTTCTACTAACAAATCTGAACAACCTAACTTCTTTCCATACAAATTAATAAACAAGTACTTAGTTATTTTGCATTTAGATAATTTTATATCTAGAGAAAGGAAATAGTCTTGAAAGTACATTGACATGTTGGTATTAAGCATTATTGACAAGTAGACATACATGCAAATACAGCACATAAATAGCATTTCTTATACTGGTTCAAGCTCAGATGATGAGTTCTGATACTACCTTTTATGTATGCAGCATATACAAATAGACTTGAAATAATAGTCATACACTAGTAGTATGACTTTTATCACTAATTCTAGGGCCAAGAAGTTCACCATCCACCACATAATGTCAATGAGCAATCATGTATTATATTATATGCCTAGTCTATTATTTTTTCAATTTGCAAAGAAATTGATGTCAATAAAAAATATCTTTCACCTTTTGTATTCAAAATCTTTCCATTTTATGAAAAACAAAACAGTAGTAAGCCCTTATAATTTATGTATTTACTTGAGTGTACTCTCCATAAAAGATGTATATAAAATCATATATTAGGTAGTTAATACATTGCTTCAAATTAGTTGATTAATGTAGACTGTAGCAGAATTGTGGTTCAAACTACATATTTAATAATTCATTTTACCATTACCTTTCATTGAAATACTGAACTGTCTATAAGACAGAAAATTCATGGTACAGCTAATATTATCAAATAGCCCCAAAATATGACATGGGTAACATATCAGTAAGATAAGTGGATGCATGCTTCCTTTTTAAAATACTAAAGTTGCAAGTTCAGGCAAGGAAACACAGATGACTGTAAACGTCACACTGATACAAAGGGTGATAGTGTTCACATTCTGTACATATTAATACTGTACGAGATGATCACAATAGGTGCTCTTTCAAACTTGTAGGAATTAAATTTTTCTAAACTTTGTAGAAGTGAAGGAACTCTGTTTCACCTATTCTCGGTAGATGTTGAATACTTGAAAAGTTTGATTTACATAACTGAAGCCAACAGTTCACAGTTTTGACAAAAATATTGGCAATAATAGATTTTCTTAAAGTTGAACCTTCATATGCTTTATTAAGTAGTTTGTTGGTGTACATTAGGAAATGAGATATAAAAATTAGTTGGTGTGACCTTTGAATCCATATTATAAGAAACATACTGATGACTCACGATAGAATGGATTTAATGAGTACTTGTTATTATTTACAGCTGGTTCTTTTAGTCACAAGTTTGATGAAAATTGTTTATTTCTAATTATTACCACAGAGTTCTTATAAAAAAAAAGAAGGTTGGGGCACACTCAGAATTTAAAATATGCATCAGTTTAATGTCTTAAAAAAAAACAGTAGCTAGTGAGAAACTTTGGTCTGAACATTGAGTAATTTATAGTCATAAATATGCAAAAATTAGTTGCTACAAAAAGTACACACTATTTCATTAGCTTTGTATACTTTATTCTCTTACAAATATTTAAAGTAAACATCTCTATAGCTTAAAAAATTGCATTTCCAAGTACAAATGCTAAATGAAAAAATTATTAGTTATCCAAACTAATACTGAAACCATACACCAATGAAAAGATGTCCTTCATCCAAGTGATATGCACTTGTTTATACCTTATGATGTATATATTTCATTACTGTACATAAAAAGACAGAACATAAAAGTTTATTCCTTTTGAAATGAAGCATCATGTAAAATCTTTTTCTTTCTATTAACAATATTTAGGAATTATCTTTATGTAAACTTAACATTCCAAAGATATTGGCAAGTTTCTCAAAATTCGTCCCATTTTGTTTATTTTAAGACAATTTACAATACCAAACCAATTATAGATATAGTTATAACCAACTATATAGTTACAAAAAATTATTACCAATAAATAAAAACAAAGTTAATTGGGGCCACTACATGGGAACTGTTCAGTGTTCATTGAAAGTGTTGAAAATGTCACAACAGTTATGTATACAAAAAAAACCAAACCCACCTCAATGTATAAAGGTGTTAAACACAGTATTTACTGCAACTTGTATATGCTCAATCAGACAAGTAGCAATTACCAAAAGATAATGACTTCCTTCAATTTTGGCTTGCTATTTTCATCTTAATATCAAGTGGATGCAACCAGAATATAATCGTCTTTAAGATAGAGAATTTCTCTTTGGCCATTCTTGAGATATTGTGTAAGCTACATTTTACTGAATTAGTACTCCCTGGTGTAAATCAAGCAAAACTAAGGACTTTAAATGTTTACAACATGACTAATTTTGTCTAAAATCTCAGCACTTAAGAAACTTGCAATGGACATTACTGCCACCAACCAGGCACAAAATTCATACCAAATACCATTATAAAGTATCAACTTTGTGGTAGAATTATCTTTAGTTTCATATTTAAACCTTTCTTCTTGGCACAAGCCAAGCAGGTAGGCTCAAGCTTATTCAACTAGGCCTCTACCTATAATTCATAGATCTTATATACTGTATGTTTAAAAGATGCTTACATGAATATATTAGAAGTACATGCTTTTATAACAGTTGTTACCCTATGCTATGGCCTGCCTCTTAAGATGATTGGCGAGGAGAACTAATATGCAGTTGTAAAATTTACTGTTAGATTCTCTCTCTCTCCCAAGCTTTCTTTTTGTCCATAAGTATACATTAAAAAACAACAACAACCTAGAATTGTTATTCTTGTGATGCATTTAAACTTTTCAGTGTTTATGAGGAGTCTGTGTGGCTATTTGGTGATCCTGAGACACTTAATATCCTCACCACATCATACTAACACTTTGAATAGTTGAGAATTATTGTAATAACTAAAAGCATATTCCAAGGACACTTAATATGGTCATCAAGGCATGTTGAGACTTTGGGCATTAAGTTGTACTGACAATTTCAATAGTTGAGATCTACTGTAATAGCTAACACTTAATATGATCTTCAATGCTGCTAAGGACACAATACAACCATTGAGTCATACTGACAGTTTTAATATTTGAGACTTTAATAACTAAAAGCATGCTGGTTACAACATAATAATGTCAAGATATTAATAATTTTTAATAATGGCTGGAGACGGCTTGAATGGGTAATGAAGAAAAACTTTAAGTTTAACATAACAGCAAATGTACAACGTTTTGACAAGGTTTTGTCATCATCATTCAACCTTGTCGAAACGTTGTACATTTGCTGTTATGTTAAACTTATATTAAAGTTTTTTTCTTCATTACCCATCTCCAGCCATTATTAGTCTCAAAGTGGGTTCCTCATCATCAAATTAATAATTTTTGTTACATGTGCCATAAAAGCCTTAATAAAAAATGTGCTTCTTTCTAATCACTTTGTGACTAGTATGAAATATTGATATTTACTCACCTTTGAGGCAGTTCAACAGTTTGAATTGGTAAAAATTATTAAGTAGATCACCATATCTTAAGGTCTATTTTGTTTTGAATTTGAACAGTTTACCATTTAAAAATTAAGGTTTAATTTCAAAGGAATTCATAAATATTATGATTTCCAAGTTTTCTTATATTTATTGGCCAGCCTACATTCTTTTAAAGAACATATCTTGCATATTAATATATTTCCAGATAGATTAGTACATGTTCCAGACTACTGAGAGTAAATCATTCCTCATTTTGAAGAGTTGGATAAATGAAAACACAATCTCTATGTAATACATGGCATATTTTAAAATCTAAACCGTATCATCATTAGTAATATGTTTACACGTTGACTCATTAAATTAATACTTTCATGTTTTCTTTTGGCTTTGCACACGTTTCTTTTAATTTGCACATTCCTTAAGGCACACAGAAGTAACAGGATACTAAGGTGTAACTGATATTTGTTTTTTATAAGCAGAATAAGCTAATAGTTTACTCATTAACTGTGTCTATCAGATTTAACATGTGATAGTTTTACAATTTCTTTGTTTCACTCTGATACAGCTAATATTAAAGAATACAAATTTTACAAGGGCTTCAACAATCTTTTATTTTTCTAGATACACAATACACCAAGCTGGAGGGTGAGAGAACGCAGACACTCATTTGTGAGAGCACTAAACGTCCAATTTATGAAATCATTGAACAAATAACCACAATCATTTTATACAATTCACAAACAATTTACAAAATCGGTCTGGCATTAAATTAAGGCATTGAAGTTGCCAAACACTAGTTCAACTTTGGCAGTGATTTTTTTTTTTTCAGTTGTCTTGGTAACTGGTAGTATGGTATAATATGAAAGAGGATGCAAACATCCACAGGCATTAGCGATTATTTGTTTTAACAACTTCACATAGTGAAGATCAGTTAAATAAATAAATTGCTTGGATATCCAGAGATGCAAAAAAGTATGACAAACAGGTTATTAATTGAATACTGGCAATCGTTTGAACTACTAGGTCAACAGTTTTTATTATACAACCTAAGCCTATCAGCGCTCTTTTTCAAAGTAAAGTACCACCTTATCAGTTTCACAATGCTGTTTATTACCAAATGGTATGAACCAGTTATGAACTGCTACTTTGTGGTTAAGAAGTACAGCACCATTAACTAGATAATTAGATATCTGACACAAACCAAGGACTAGATTAGCAGTCCATTTCAGTAAACTTACAAATGATTTTGTGAAGAGCTTTCAAAAAAATGTAATAAAGAGCTCTTTTTATACATATGATATTACCAACGGTTTATGTTCTAACAAAAAGTATTTAACTAAAATTGACAAAACATGTTTAACTTAAATGTTTTTTTGGTAAACATGCAATAGTTTATGGAATTGAAACATTTATGTTAATGCTTACTTTAATATGCAAAGTTTCATCTGGTTAACATATTAGATTAATATATTATGACCAATTACATATCTGCCATAAACCAAAGTGTCTACTTTGGCATCTTTTGTATAGCTTGTCTGTCAATTTGGTATCTTTTATGATATGGTGGTCACTTTGGCATCAAGCAAGTATGTAGGTCTTCTTTGCAACTGGTGTTAACATGGTAGTCAGTATCATCTAATACTGGTATTAGATGCTTGTTTCAGCTGACCACTGAGAAGCTTGATGGAACGTAAAATTTCATGATCAGTTAAATACTTAGCATAAACCACTGTTTTTAAATTACCCATTAAGTGCTAGCTATCACATATGATCAGTGATCTACCTTAAAATTCTGGGATTAATTGTGTAAGGCAGTTCCCTATTTTGATCTAGTACATAGACAGCTGACATCACCAGAACATTTCACAGACATTATAAAAGTTGAAAATACACAAATCCTCCAAGTTGGTCTTGTATGCTCTCCCATCTTTGGCAGGTTTGTGTTGAGATTTATGATACTTGTAACATTTTTCAAAGGCCAAAAAATAACATACAATTCCTAAGATACAAATAAAATACATATACAGCTGTCTCAGGTTGCATTTTCAAATAACATAGCACATTTTCACAAGCATTAAAACAAATGTTCCTCTTCTTTAGACATTTTCACACATTATCCTACAATGAGCAAATTTTGATTGCCAAGTGCAAAAAAAGGAGGGAGGCAGCCTTTAAAAACTGTAATTACAGCACTTGACACTATACTACAGAAATTGGTAAGCAGATTGACCCTTACCATATTAATAAAAAGACCATCAGTATCACTGAATGCATATGTAATGACATTAGCCTCAATCTACACAAAAAGCACTAAAACTTAACTCTAGTACACTAACATTTCTTCAGTGACCAATTAATTACCATGTGGCTGAAATGCTTAATGCTTCTGACAAAACACAACTTAAATGATGCTGGCCTAATACATCAATGTGTTTTGTTTGTTTATAGAAAAAAGATATGTCTCTTCCTCTGCACTGGCAAGACTAAAATATATTTTGATCATTCAGAACTGGTCAGGAAGACAACAACTGAAACAAGAATATTCAGTGACAATCATTTGTAAAGACAAGGTGAAAAGTTACTGTCTTGATAATGAGGGACTAATGGTTAAATCATACTAAAACAAACACATCTATCAGCAAACTAAAGTGTAGTATTTTGAGACAAAGGAATGGATTTGCTAAACACACTTATGACAACTGCACCATAACTACCTATTCTTATTAATATGGACACTGTCAACAACTACAAAACTCTTGTCTTTCATAACAAAGATTTGGCAGTTTATTTTAGAGGACACCTTCAAGTCTTGTCCACAAGACTGAAAGATATACTTACATTACACACCTTCTTATGTAGATCTGCTGTTGGATGTTTTTCACATACACCAACTATTTGTTAAATATCAGGCATTGGCTCTGATTAAAGAATGGGAAAGAACCAACCATAAAGCAGTGGTTCAAGAAATGGACACACACATACACAAAAAACCAACACAAAAAAAAAACAAAAACTAAACCACTGTGCTACCGGTAACACAGTACTGATTGGTTCTGAGGAATGCTGATTCTTATGGATTGTGTCTTTAATCTTGTGTGACTTCCAGAAAACACTGACCTAATAATCATTCCTGGAAACAACAGATCATACACACATACACACTAGGCCTCTCATGCCACAACCACATTGATTCTGAATAGAGAACTATGTGTTGTGTGAAAATTATGAAAGGATAAACTACTCTAATTTTAAGAAGGTGAACACTTAGGATGGGGCTTGAAGTCTCCCTTATCTGCTAGTCGTTGCAGTTGAGTTATGGTTCTATAAACAACAGATGCACTGATCAAACCAAAGTCAAACAAGTTTGCCAGATGCAACAAAAAATTGCTATACAAGTTCCTTCTCAAGACTTCGTGACCGTGGAGTTCTACAAACATAGAACATGCCAGAGATATCTGACAGTCTCCAACAAATCTGGAAAAAAAATTAAGGTTATTAGACAAGTTTTAACGAAGACAGAGAAACAAAAAATAATGTAGTCTGATCTCAATCTACTAAGCTTTCATATACTAAGTTTGAAAACATAAAAATATACAACATTTCCCTAAAATTCTCATATATTAGACTGCAAATAAGTAATACAGTGTGTGAAAATTCTGCATTGGCAACATTATTTATGAAATGAAAACATTTGAAAAATATCAAAGTTTAATTTAGGAACTTGTGACTTAATTTATACAACAATGAAAGTGTTAATGTCTCATATATTTCTGTGTCAATATGAACACATTCCTATCTATCAATGCGACATGTTTGCTGGTTTCTCTGTTCATAATAGTTGGAAAATACTCAGGATAAAAATAAACTAGGCGTACCACAAAAAAACCGAGTTCTTTAGTAATAAACTTTTTTTTAATTTCCTGTAAATGGCAGGTTTAACAAGTAAAAATGCTCGAGTTATCTGTTACTATGGAATACAGTAATTAGGAATATTTTAAAGAAAGGTTACACAAAAACAGTTATCACTGTTGAATTGCAAGCCTACTTTTGGAAGTAACTCCTGTCATCAAGCAAAATTTAAGACTAAGGAAGGCTTCAAATTTTTTTTGTTTATAGTCATTGTATATGCACAATAAAATATGTGAATTTTGTCAAATTTTTAACTAGTGATAATAGAGCAAAAACATTTTATAATATTAACAATAGTTGATACAAGTACATGATGAATTAAAAATAATCAGGAGCACTGACAATTTCATAAAAAATAGGTAGATAACCATACAAGGTCATAACAATCATATTGAATTAAATGAACAACATTACAAACATACAGTCAGTGTGATCTGTCTTTGGTAAATGATAATGAACAACACTTAATTTAATTTCAATGCCAAGAAGTAATTACTCAAGCATATATCAAAGGCACTTCATTATAGGTTTTGCAATTTCTCTATTACTGGTAAGTTAAGAAGTTTTTAGGATTTTGGCCATAATACTTCATACAATTATAATCTTAGGTAAATAGTTAACTCAACTAGCATGAATGGAAAGTCTTACAAAACAGATAAAATATAAGCTGGAGCTTATTATGAATTAACACCAGATATAGAAAATACTGGTGGGGGACTAACCAGCAACTGAAAGAAGACATGGATTTTTTTAATGTTACATGCTTTAATATAGCATTAAAGAGAAATTTTTACATTATAGTTTGTGCATTTCTTTCAAAATATGATAATTTGAGAAAAATATCTAACAGTAAATATGAGTATGTAGTAAACATTTCAACCTGAAATCCTAATTACACAATTATAATTCAATAGTTTTTTTTTTTACTTATATAATCGGTATTGCCCTTCTAGTGCACATCCTGATACCCAAAGTTGAGTATGTTATGATACTGTACGACTCAAGTTTAAAATAAAAACCATAAAAAGAAAAATTAACTGAAACAAAAAGTTTACTGTCTTTATGCATTTGGTGACAATTATATCCATTTTATCACAAATTCTTTATGTTCTTTATTATTTTAATGTGATTTTATAGTCAAACTCAGGTTTTTCCAGTCTGAACAAATTTGAGAAGCAAAGACAATCAATAAACAAGTAAAACAAAATATACATTCTTTACTTTGAAAATAACCAACCAACACTGATCAAGCTTTTCACCATTACTTAAAATATGTTTATAATGAAATGAACCAAATATCTTTTTATCATCTATAGGATAGTCGTAATTTTATTTGAAGATGCGAATCATGCCTTTTTAAATAACATTAGAAACTTGATTATCGTTTAACAGTAACAGCAAAACCCACCTGCCTTCAACAGTATCAAATAATTCTGTTGAAAAAATTGAATTAGCACTTACAATCCATATCCAAATCCTCACACCCCACAGTTATAAGGATCACTTATGAAAGTTTCACTTTTGCTTTCACAATACTTATCACACACTATTAGATTATTCATACATTTATTCACTATCATTATTACTAGAATCAGTTTTCTCACCACTATCTTTTTCAAATATTTGTTCATAAATCATTTCAAATGTGTTATCAAGTTTTTCAAAGCAGCACACCTCTTCCTTTTGAAAGATCCAGATTTATATTTTCTACCTCTACCATGATATTTGCTTGCCATTGTTATATAAAAAGGTATAAAGATAAAGACAACTTTTCTTTTAATAAATCCTAAATGGATTCTCTAGATGCAGTCTAGAATGGAAATTTTGATTCTCTAACTTATAACTTTTATCAATCAATGAACAGTGAGAAGTTTTTGACTATAAAAGTTTATTGTTGTTCTCGCTTCATGCAATTAGGTTTTTCATCCTATTACCTTGCCTTCATTGTTACCGTTTGGAAATAGTCAATAATATTGGTCCATTTTATTGTTGTTCTTTTCATGTGCAATTATAAAATTCTTTTAATCTTGTATTTTTTACTGTGCTTAATTATTGTTATCACAAATACATGATTTGGAAATGAAATTTTTGTCCAAAATAACATGTATCTAAACACATCTCACTCAAAATTAGTGTCTATCTTGAAATCATGTAAAAAAATATATATACACAGTCTGTAAATCCCATCAGTACTACTAGCAGTCACCCTTACTGACAGGTTCATAGACAGCCATGACTGGAGTTATGAAATCTATGCATCTTAATAGAAAAATAATGTTTTGACACATCCAGCATCATTTTTAGTTGATTAAACCAATTACATTAAATGTGTGTTTAAAACAGGTTTTCTATGTTCTTAAGTGTTGTATTATGTCTTGGGGCCTAAGTTTTTATGTCGGAATGCATCTCCAATTATGTAATGGGAGTTTATGGGAAAACAGTTTCACTATATAGACAATTTCTCAAGAATGCATCTGTTTCATATATCGAGGGATGGGTGTACTAGAAACATTCTAGTATTTTCTTTTCTAGAACTTATTAGACTCCTCTGTTCTGGAAAACTCACTGATCCTCTCATTTTGGCAGGAATATGCAAGCCAGACCACATTTCACAAAAAGTACAAATTGTCACCATGACAATTGTCAAAGTGACTGTGTAGCAGCTGACACAAAAGGAATAGCTAACTAGCGCTACCTGCAAGGCCCCATAGCATACTGTTATATGCATGCATGTATAAATACTGGAAAATAGGTAACATTAATGCTATTGTTTCATTTATTTTATATATATATATATATATATATGTTAGCATCTACTATAATCTGGGTAATTAGTTATTTTCAACTCTGCAGTTTAACCCTTTTGCTGCATTGTGCCATAGAGCCTACAGATATCTGTAATCCATTTTCTATATATCCTTGCACAAATGTATTTGTCTTGGTTACACACACAATGCATCCCAGCAGAATGCTCAAACTTTCAAGTGGTTATATTACATGTTGTATAGATAACAGCAAAGTCATGAGAGTATTGCATATTTTCAGCAGGATAATGTGCTTTCACAGAAGTTTTGGAAAAAATCCTGAGGCTTCTCAAATATATTTTCTGTTTTATCAAATATTGAATGCCAAAGTTTCAAAATTTATTTCAAACAAGTTTTGAATACTGAGGACATAAAAAATGTGTGCTGCAAGTGATTTTGAGTGCTACTAAAATGAGTGAATACGACATCACAAAATAAAGGATTCTACCACGAAATTATAATGTTTTAGTGGCTTTGAATAATATGTAGCAAAAATAAGAATTAAAAAAAAAAAGAAAAAGAGTTCCACACAGGGAATAAATAATGCTACTGCATTAATGGGAGTTAATGACGATTTCAAAATGTAAAATATTTCACACTATTTTAAAAAGTAGTTTAAATTAAATTTGAACAGAGCAAGCAAAATGTTTTTAACTCCAATTTTTTTACTTAAATCCAATGGATGTGGTTCTATCAAATCATCTTGTTACTGAAAAACTAGAAATACAAACAAAAACTTTATGCAATTTTATATTTCATTTTCCTTTTAATTAGCAGCCAGTTATAAGACTTCTTAATGAAGTTTGTAAATGATATTTATGGAAACATCTACTTCAAAGCCATTTTGTATTTTAGATTAAAATAATAAAATTTGCAAAGTCTGAGAAAATGGCAAACTACACAACCTACCAATAAGTAAACAGACAACACTCAAAATAAAATTTAATCATGTCACAGCATCACATGCAAGTAACCCCAACATATAAATACAAGTGCAGCTTGGTAAAGACCTCAGAATACAAACAGCCAAACCACAACTGAAAGGATTACAATAATTAATCATACTTTTATGAAGTTGCATAGTTGGATGGTCTGAGGGTAATCATAGTCGGGTAGAAGCAGATGTGTCACTTGTAATACACTGAATAGTGACATATTATAAGACAACAGTTTCTGCACAGCCCAGGCATCCAAATTGAACAGAACAGATTATTTGTGTTGTGAGAGAAGTGTTGAAAATGACCCACATCAAACAGCTTCTAGTACTACAGGACAGATGCAAGCATTCTAATACCATCAGAAGTTATCTTCATAAAACAGGCTCTAGTGGAAAATTATATACAGAAGTCAGTTGTTACTCCAGGCAATAAAGTTCACTGACAGCAATGGGTATCAAAGATGTTAACATACTCTCCTGCCTTTGAGGACATTTTTACCATTGAATTTAGATTTCCAAAATTCTTGGAAAGGGGACACATCTTGTTTGGTGGGTGGTGAACTTCACTGAACCATGTTAGCCACAAAAATTTAGTGGTATTTTTGTTATAATTTAAGGCACTATTTGGTCAGCTTGGCAAATACAGCTGATGGTTTGTGAAGAGAAGATCACTGCTACATGATACATCACTATTCTCATTCAACACTTTCTACCTATCTATGTTGATGACCAGTTTAACAGACAAGGTGGTGTTTTCATATTGGATTAGGCTCCTGCTCATTCAGCACAAACCACAATACATTTGCTTGAATATCAGGGCATTACCACTCTCCTGTGGCCAAGTCAATTACTAGATATGAATGTTACTGAGCATGTGTGGTTCATCCTAGATTGTATTTTCCAAAATTTAACTTTAGGTACACATTTATCTAAATTTTGTTTTGTCAGTAGTGAGATACACCCCTCAATCCCAGATTTCAGTTCTTGAAAATAAGAGATGTAAACTCATTTCAGCCTCACAAACCGTAAAGAAGAGTTATGCTAAATACTAACAGTAATCCTGCACATTTTGTTTCATATGATTTTTTTCAAACACTCTATATAATAAATGGAAGAATTTCACATTCAATTTTAGTTGAAATGCTGAAGCTCTGTATAACTACATGTATGGTGTAAATTTGATACTCATATTCATGCTAGCTAGTATTTGAACAGTATTATTAGTCTATCATTGGTACTGTGTTTTTTTGCAAAACTTCATGCTTGTTACATACAACATTTCAATGTTAGAATATATCAGATATCTTCATATATATATAATTAACTCATAAAAAAAAAACTACAAATTATAAGTGCATCTGTATAGCCAAGTGTTACACTGCTCACATTTGAAAACATTAAATATGAACAGTATCTACATTTACATAAGATTTATATCTAATGTTTACACTTAAAACTCAACCACATACAATAACATACCCATGTTTCATGACATGCAAGTTCCACATCTTCATTAAGTCTTTCTCTCCCTCATTCACATCCGTAAATTCATCAATCATCTATTAGAAATATTAATATTGACAGAAACCAAAATATTACAATAAACCACAGTTCATGCTTAAATACAATTCTGAAGAGTTACCTCTTACTTTAATAATTAAATACATCTTCAGTTAGTAAAAAAAGGAAGAATTCAATTAAACTGAATTATCCTAAGAATATTAGAAAATATCATTCATGTGCTAATTGCTCTTCAACATAAGTTATAAGCACAATAATTTCTCTCTCTTTAAACAATTTCAATTTATGAAACTAGTGTAAACTTCCTTTATAAACTTTGGTGATCTTTAAGTCTAGATTGTACAATGTTTTTTTTAAAAAAACACTGTTTCTTGCTCAAATAAAGTTTATATCATAACTTTTGAATCCTTTTTGTTTACCAAACTGACTCCCCATTATTAAAATTCAACAGGAATGTACAAATATCTACTCATACTAATTTTTTCATGCATTTTAGTAAATAAAAATACCAATGTTTCTTACACTATGATGTATGGTGAGAAATATTTAAACATCAATATATTAACTCTTTAAACCTGTAATTTTTTGTGCATTCTTCCAGAAATATTTTCATTATTTCCTAATAATTAACATCATACCTTATAAAACTTCAATTTTCTTAATTTTGTGAATAATAACATGGTTTGGTTTAGTTTTCAGCCAGACATAAATGTTATAATATGCTGTCACTGTCCAATAGGTAAATTGGGATTTTTGGTCATATGTTAGCAGCATCCACTCGGGTTTAAGAAGTTAAAAACATACCCAAAAAGAATTATGACTCAAACCGCCAAATCAGCATAAGTAATAATTGGGTTTTAAAAAACAAAGACAACAAAAGATACATACAAGTTGGGTTTTTGTTCTAAGCCACTGAGGATCATTCTCTCCTTCACTGTCGACATCAATCTCTTGTGGTCGTACGGCTAGACAAGTTCCTGTATGATAGTAGAGTCTGAAAGAATAAGTTTTCCAGTTAATATAAAGTGAAAAATATATTAAGTATACCAAAAAAAGGCCTCACTTCAAATACTACTACTAGGAAATATTAAAAAGCAGATCATGTGGTTACAAAATAAAAAAATAAAATAGTTAAAACAAAAGCCATAACTTAAAAAACACTTTACAGACACATAAAAACAAGAATGTACTGCAGCACAATTTTGACAACAGACTGAGTTCAGTGGTATACCTTCTCCTTAACCAATTGAGCCTTTTTTACTTATAATGAAACAAAATCAAGTTTACTATAGAATACAATATAGTTTATCAGGTAAAAATGTAGCCAATATAATATATTCAGAATTGTAAGGGAGACACAATTAAACACAGTAAAAATGTCAACAAAGTACAGTTTACAATACATTCAGAAAATGGGGTAGATAATTCTTTATTACTAATTATACAATCCATAAAATTATTATTCGACTGATGTCTACACAATTATAAAGCAAAACAAATATACTTTTGTATATGTTACAATGTATCAAAAAACTGACCTGTTATGTCCTGATATGTATGGCCTTGGACCATCAATATCGGTCTCATCTGGCTCAAGAAACTCAGATAAGCTAGGGGGTGGTAACCTTTTTGGCCTAAAGTGTACAATTTTGTGAATTAACAACTTTAGAATAATTAAGTGTTTTAATTCTGTACAAAAAAGTTACAGACCAATAAGGTATGTGTCAATTGAAAAACTTGAACTCTTACTTATTCTCTTATTTTACAAGTTAAGGTTTTCAGGTAATAGGTTAGTGCTCATACTCATCAGTTCATGAAATTATAAAACTGTTAGTACATTTTAGAAAAAACACATAGCAAAGGTAACTGAGAATATTCAATGACTATACAAATACAAAAAAATTGTATATATATAACATGCCAGAATTATTATGACAGACAATTTATCTTGGAATGTTCTAATATGATGTATCATGACTTTTGGCTTTAACAATCTCTTCTGTTTTTCAGGGTTCTGACAAATATCTGGTAAATTTGTTTCCACTGTCATTTCAAATGCTCTGTCACTTGATGATGAATTAATGCTGTTTTATAAACTTTTAAATTAACATTAAGATTTGGTGTATATTAAAGTGGATCATTACCAAAATTGTTGACAGTTACTTTGAAAACAGGTACGGGATGCATGTCATTTTTGTGCAGCCAGCACTATTCTGCTGAAATAACAGGTAAGAATGGTGACTCCAAAGCACCACTATCACAGTTCATGAGATTTTACATAAGAAAACGCATTCACAAATAATTCTGCACTTAACATATGGAGTACAGCCTAACTCTAATACCCTATCCCAATCCTTGTTGAAACAACACAATCAGTCAAGTTGTTCACCTGTTTACAGTCTTTTACAGTTGAAACAACAAGATCAGCCATGTTGTTCACCTACTTACAGTTGAAACAACACAATCAGTCAAGTTGTTCACCTGTTTACAGTCTTTTACAGTTGAAACAACACTATCAATCAAGTTATTCACCTGCTTAGTCATTCACAATTGAAATAACACTATCAATCAAGTTATTCACCTGCTTAGTCATTCACAGTTGAAACAACACAATCAGTCAAATTGTTCACCTGCTTAGTCCTTCACAGTTGAAACAAGATCAGTCAAGTTGTTCACCTGCTTACAGTCTTTTACAGTTGAAACAACACAATCAGTCAAATTGTTCACCTGCTTAGTCCTTCACAGTTGAAACAAGATCAGGCAAGTTGTTCACCTGCTTACAGTCTTTT